AAAGGAAGACCAAAGAAGAATCACTGCCTTTGAATTATGGTGTTGTAGAAGTGCATTGGGTAGACCAAGGACTATCAAAAGAACAAGCAAATCTGTCTGGACGGAGTCCAACCAAGGCGGTCCTTAGAGATGAGGATTATCTCACATAATTTGAGCATGTTGTCAGGAGCAGCTAGTCTTTGGGAAAATACACCATGCTCGGAAAAGTAGAAAGTCAGCAGAAGAGAGGAAGGCCCTCAGTAAGACGAGTTTGGCAGTGGTTACACCAGTGGGCGGGTATGGCAGAGACTGTGATAACATGCAGGATAAGGAAGTGTTTCAATCTGTTGTTTGTAGGGTGGGTATGAGTATTAGCTGACTCGGTGGCATCTAGCAACAATAACCCCACATCCGTAAGTGCTTACTGGAGATCTAAGTAAAATAAAATTCTTGACAACTTCTGTCTTCTCTCTGTTTTGCCAGATGTTGTTATCTATGGATCCAGTTGTGAGAATGCTTGTTTGTTTATGTTTTGAGGTGTAATATATATTGAAGGCTATAGACTTTGATCTCCATCAGTAAATATTTCAAGTCTTTCAGCTTTCAGCATGCAAAGGTGTATCATCTGCACATCTCAAATATTGAGTCTTTCTCTAACCCTGATGTCAAATTCTTCTTAATATAATTTAGATTACTTGCTCAGCATACAAGAAGTGAAATAATACCGCCCTGACAACTTTCCTGGTTTTAAACCATGCAGTATCCCTTTTTAAACTTTTTTATTTTTTCTTTTATTTTTTTATTAATTCTTTAATGAAAGTTTACAGAAAACCTGGATTTCCATTCATTCATAGTTAACACATTTTCCTCCCTTTTATTCTATTCAAACAATTTCTTAGTATACACAGATTCTCCATGAGCACAATTAAATAGTCTGTAATTTCCGTTACTTACAATATTATCCATGATTCTTCATGATGCACACTGTCAAATGCCTTTGCACAGCCCATAAACCATCTTTCTGGTGTTCTCTACATTTAGACAAGATGCATCTGACATCAGTAACCACATCCTTTGTTCCATGTCCTCTTCTAAGTTTTGTTTGACTTTCTGGAAGTTTTCTGGCAGTGTACATTCCAACCATTTTTTTTAAATTATTTTAGCAAAATTTTACTTGTGTTTAAATAATGTATAATTAAATGGCTAGTTATAAGATGGCTACAACTTGTGCTGCACAGAGAAAACCCCACCAACTGAAATGATATTGTTATGTACCATCAAGTTAGAACCAACTCATCACTGACCCTTCAGAAGGTTTTCAGTAGCAATTAACTGCAGAGAGAGAGAGTTCACAGTTCATCACGTGGAACAGCTGGTGGATTTGAACCACAGGCCTAGGAGATGGAAGTGTCACTCCTTATCACTTGTTGTTGTTAGGTACCATCAAGTTGAGTATGATCATAGTGATGCTGTGAGCAACAGATCTGAACCCTGCCCTATCCTGTGCTGTCTTGACACTTCCTGACACACTAGAACCCACCGTGGCAACTCCCGTGAGAGTCTACCTGGTTGAGGTCCTTCCTTTTCTTTACCAGTCCTCTACCTTTCTGAGCATGATGTTCCTCTCCAAGAAATAGCCCCTTCGAACAGCATGCCTGAAGTATGTGAGGTGAAGCCTCATCATCTTTCACTCTAGAGAGCACTCTGGCTGCACTCTCTCCAAAACCTAATTGTTTGTTCTTTTGGCCATCCATGGGATGCTCAGTACTCCTCACCAACACTATAGCTCAAAGGCATCAATTCTTCTGTCATCCTAATTCATTGTCTGTCTCTCAGATGCATAACGAGTGATCAAAAAGACCATGGCCTGAATCAAACACACATTACACCTAAAACTGGCATTATCACTCCTGGAGAAGTCTCTAACTGGTCACTAGATCTCCCTCCTGACTGACACTCTCTCTCCTTTCTTGATATAGAATTTACCAACACAAGACTCCCCACATTTAATTATAGCAGGAAGACCAGGTAATGGATGATCTTCTCCATGAAACAGGGGCATCCAGTCATTTGGCACAGTGGCTGTCCCTAGCCTCACTGCTGATGAAAAAGAAGAACTAGGGAGCTAGCACCAAACCCTCTTTCTTCCTCCAGGACAAATATTGGGCCTGTGGTGACATTTCCAACCACAAACAAACTACTTTGCATAAGTGATTCATCTCCAGCCTTCTGCTTTTCTTTCAAGAGTTAGCTGTCATATGCTGCCTGTGACTCACTTAAGCTCCCTTTGCCCAAGGAAATAAACTCTCAAGATTCCTAACTTCTAGACCCCTCCTAAGACAAATAGTCATGTTGCTTTTATGATGACACAGCACAGAAGCATTTTGGCTAATTCCCATTTGCTGTCTTGCCAGTGAAAGCACCATTATTTCTGAGTGTAAGAGGAGAGAATTTGATTTGCATTACTTTGATCATACAGGACCCAAAATCAAGCATGCTGTGGCATGTCAACTATTTGAGAACTGATGAATTTCCATAGGGCTTCCAAGAGTGAGACATGGCTAAGTACAGCTAGTTCTGTAATTCTGTATTATATTTGTGAGGATGTGCACATCTTCAGAAAGTGACCCTGAACTTGTTACGTTCTGTACAATGAGTAGTGTGGTCATAGAGCTCTTTAAAAAACAAAAACAACAAAAAAAAACTTTAAAAAACCCCATATTTTGTGTTTCTTTTTTGTTATCTTTATCTAATATTTTAAAGAATTTGACTTGGTTTTCTAACCTGCAGTTTGACCTGTCAAGTCATGTAGCATACTGAAAAGTCTAAGTAGTTTTAAAGTAGGATTTATTATACAGAGGAAGTTTTGTACAGCCGCATTTTCTTAATCTCGTTTCCTGACTCCTCCTCGTTGATGTCCTTTATACCCAGGAATTAGGTCAGCTGTCATGTGCTTTTGCCAAATGTTCATACTGTTGAAGCCACAGACAGATGAATCATGTATTGCCTAACTAGATTAAGCTAAAATGCACCATTGGCAGCATTCCTATTACAGAATTATTCCCTGGAACTACTTCTATCAGTATGTTTTGATGCTATGCATATTGTGGATAACCATCAATCAAATGAATGAGGGCAAGAAATGTTATGTGTAGATGGGTACTTTAGGAGGTAAGAATACCTGTTTTATGTTATTGTATATAAATGCATGGTAATTATGTATGTAAATGTGAATTTTAATGTATACGGTGATTTTCTTCATTACGGGTTTTAACGTTATTTGCAGCCAGCCATTTTACAGACATGTACAGGTTGTTATATTTTAATAGTGAGATATTATGACATTAATGACTTAGATTTGTTATGAGATAGCCTTACACAGTCTCACCAACATAAAATTATGTTTACAGAATATTTCTTTTAAATAAGGAATGTAAACATGTTATATATGCTTAAATTTTGCCTAATGAAAATTGAATTCTTGGAGGAAAAGGTGGTAAAGTGATTCACATTAATCAATATAGGAGTAAAAGCAGACCAGCTTTTACTGAAATGCGTGGCAGACTCATTATTTTTAAGATAGATTGAAAGCGCCGTATATGATTCCATCTCAGTCTGTTTCCAGTGATTTTTAAAGGAGTGTCACAATGTCCTTGAAATGAAATTGAATGAAATTTGAGTTTAATATATTTTATACAGTGAATCCCTAAATGACAGAAAAGTGTTCTAAAATCAAGCCGTGTTATCACTAAAACACCTGATGAACTTGAGGACTAACTGAACATCACTTTTATTGGAAGATGTTAGGCAATGCTTATACAATGAAATAACTTGGTCTTTGCCCACATGGAGCTTTTCATTTAAACATGGAGAGAGAATAGATTACAGCATATATAAAATTTAGTAACTATTTAAAACAAGTAATAACTTGGGAGAATTGAAGATGTCTTGTGGCAAAACATATACTTAATTGCCAAGTGAGTGATCCGCTGTGTTGTGGGTAGATGCGGTGAGTCATGTCCGACTCATGGAAACTGCTTGCGTGTTGAGTAGGAATGTTCCAGAAAGTTTTCTTGGTTGTAATATTAGCAGAAGCGATCACCACACCTATGTTCTGTGGAATCACTGAGTAGGCTCTTGAAATGGCTCTTTTGCATTAGCAGTGAAACATAAGCCATCTGTGCCATCAAAAGCGGGAAGGGGCACTTGAAGCAAATGGAATCATAGTGTAGTTAGCAAGTGAGAGCTGCTCCAGTTCACATATGAACTATTTCACCAATTGTGAAAAACAGATAATGACTGGGGGTGTAGATGTTGACACAGAACTAGCCTAGATCTTTCAGATTATCTACTTATTTTACCAGTAACACTCATATGTCTCTCTGAGTTTAGTTTACTAAACTGCACGCATGAACAATTAATCTTGATGTCCTCAGTTTTTTTAGAGCTGGTTTAGCTGAACATTAAGAAGATGCAAATAATTATGTACAGTTAGATATCTCAAAGCACTATATCATTTTTGTTCTAATGTAATGTATATTAGCTGTATCTCAGATTGTGTTTGTGTGTGCATGTAGTAATATTTCTCAGGATTCTTTAAAAAAAACAGTTACTGTTAAGGGGGAAAGCTCAGAAACTTGAGTTGACAGAATAAATTTAGAAAACAATTTTTCTTTTCTCACAAAAGGAATAATTTTAAAGCCCAAATGCTGTTGCAATGCTTCCCAAACATGAATGTGCCCAGAAATCTCCTGAGGGTCCTGTTAAAATGCAGATTCTGAGTCATCCAAGAGTGTATCTGAGGAGCTGTGTTCCCAATAGGTTCTCAGAAGAGAGAGGTCTGTGCTGTTTATCTAGGTTCCTGGAGATGCACACTGTGGAGAGAATAGAACCTCATTTGCATGAGGGATGTGCCTTAATACCCAATAATACCATGCTGACATACATTAACAACATTATTAGAATAATATATTTATGGTTTTTGTCCTTATTCTCACCCAAATCTGTATTCTTGCCTTTAGCACGAAAGCAAGAAATTATCAAAGTCACTGAGCAACTGATTGAAGCAATCAACAATGGAGACTTTGAAGCTTACACGTGAGTACAGACATGTTTATTTTACTGAAGCTGGTAAATTTATTTTCTATAGAAGTACATTCTTCAAAGTACTTGAATTTTTGGATATTTAAGCTCAGACTTGATGGGTCCACAATTAAGTTCATCTCAACTTGTAAGTGGCTTCATGTCCCTTAAGAGCCAAATATATTCATTTATTTAAGATGTCAGAGAAAGGAAACAGTGCTTTAAATCCAGGGTTGAGAATATCTTTAGTAATCCACAGTAATAATTCCCAACCATTGTATTTGAAGGAAAGGATTTCCAGACAGAGCAATCTGTGGAAACAAAGGCACAAAACAAAGAAAGCACAAACAGTAAAAACAAAGCAAAACCAAACTCACAAATAGAAACAATAAAGAAGTTATTAAATAAAAGAAGTTCCTTTTTTTCATTTTTATTTTATTAATTTTGTGTGTGTACTGTCAAATGGGATCTGACTGGTATAGGAGATTGCCCCTCCTTCTCCAGCAGATCATCTGGTGGATTCAAGCTGCATGCCTCTGGGATTGCAGTGCAGCTTCTTGCCACTAGGCCACCAGAGCTCCCAAGAAGTTTCTTTTCTTGTTTTAAGAAACATTTTTCATCATAGTTCAGTGAGGTGGTCGGTGAAAGGAAAATCCGGGCAGGCCCTTATTTTTCAACCAGTACACTGTTACTTTTATCTATTTTGTGTTTTTGTGTTTGTCTCTTGGGTAAGATTTCATTTAAAAAGGATACAATGATGCTTAATTTAAAGTTGATCTAATGAAACTACTTTGCTCCAGTATAATTAAACCATCCAGATAAATAGAGCCTAAAGGATAAGAGTCAGGTAAGTTAGCTATTTGGGAATAAAAAGAATCTGTTCTGGAAAATAATGCATTCAAATTTTATATATAAACTAGTAAATTAAAAAAAACAAATTCCAAAGTCATGTGGGGTAACAATCTCAGCCTTCCTTTTTCATCATATAGTAAATTGAGTTCTTAAATGGATGGAAAATAATAAGATACTTGCATTTGCTCTCTGTTTGGAGAGGTCTTTCTAGTATAGAATCAGAAGATGAGAAAATAACTAGACTGCCTTGGTGTGTAAATATGTATACTTCAATGAAAATAAAAAAAACTAAAGATAGGAAACAATTAACTTGGGATGATATGTGCAAAATGTGGCAAAAATCATTTTTACTGAGCAAATAAAATTGATAAGTAGGGAAAGGACATGGAGTATTTATAAAGGAGGAAATATAAATACAAGAATAAAAGCATTTTTATGCCCACTAATTAAACTGATGCAAGTTTGAAAACAAACATTTCCTGCTCATCATAACAGTGGGATGCGGGAGCATCACTTAAGGTGGGAATTTGGTGACTTTCTTACACCTCAGGGTGGAGTAGAAACGGAAGGAAACTCTCAAGATGGTGAAGAGGCAAGCACAGTTAAGTATTAAGTGCTAGAAAGCTTTTATTAAGGTTCATGTGGAGAAGAGGATTGAACATACCATGGACTGCCAAGAGAATTAACAGGTTAGTCCTGGAGGAGAAGCCAAGTGGCTCCTTGGAGGCAGGGATTTGGTAGTTCCATGTCTTTGGGTTGCCAGGAGGGACCAGTCCATGGAGAAGGATGTCATGCTTGGAAGAATGTAAGGATGGTGCAAGAGAGGATGAGATAAAGTGATACAGAAACTGGGGGAACGGGGTTAGAAGTCTTAGAGACAGTGAGATTGGCTCAGGATAATAGGACAGGCTTCAGAGCTATTAAGCATAGGATTGCTATGAGTCGCAAGCAACTTGATGGTACATAACAACAACAGCGTAATTAGACTTAGGAAGGAAAAATTTATCACAGACATAGATTATAAATCTAGCATATGGGTAGATTTATGAAGAAAGTTGTTTATTGAAGCAATAGTGCAAAATAGAAACAGCCTCTGAGTTCATCCGTATGTGTGTGATGTGACAGCTAAGTAATTTTTTGGTACCTTGGATACACTACATGTTTCTAAGTGTCTAGTAATTTGAGAAGATGGTTATGATGCATTTAGAGACAATCAGGCAGAATATGAAATATGTATACTTATTTCAGCTCCACAAGACAAAAGCATTCAAATGGGGTAAAGTATGCCAAATTGGTTTTAAGAAAAAGAATAAAGAATTTCTTTCTGGGAGATGAAATTATGTGTAATTATTTTGCCTCAGCTTCTTTCCTTTCCTGTTCTTTCCAAATATTATATAAGCAAGTGTTACTTTTTTTAGTTAGAAATAGATGACCAAGTGTAAAATTGAGGAGAAAATGACTAAATTTAAAAATAAATCTGAAAGCTACTTCTTATATGCTCGCTTGTATTGTTGTTGTTTTTATTGTTTGTGTCGTCAAGTAGGAACCAACTTATAACTTAGCCTCCAGTGGATTCTCAGAGGCTGTAAATCACGTGGAAGAAGATTACCCACCTTTTCCCCCCCGAATGAGTTTAAGTGGTGTTATTGTTGTTGCATGTCCTGGAGTCAGAATCAACTCATAGCTGAACTTGCAGTAGGTTTTCAAAGGCAGTAAATTGTTCTGGAGGAGATGGCCATCTTTCTCTTGCAGCACAGCTGGTATAGTCTAACCACATCTCTTTTGGATGGCAGTGCATCTCCTTAGCACTAGGCTACCAGAGCTCTCTAGAAATTGTTTAGTTATATGTACAGATATATATATGTACATGCATATGTGTGTGTGTGTGTGTGTGTGTGTGTGTGTGTGTGTGTGTGTGTTGTATTTTTTAACATGGCCTATACTTGGAATGGAAGAGATAGATAGTAAGACATGGAGTAAAAATAACCTTTTTTGTTGTCAGAAACAAACAGTTAAATCATTAATTAGAACTCTGCCATATACCCTGCAGCTCTTTTCTTATGTTTGCTGAAATAACCTCGTTAGACCTATTTCATTCTCCAAAAGCAGAGGATTACTTTTGTTAATCTCCTTTGCAGTAGAATTCCCCTGTGGGATGATAACAAGGGCATTTTGCTGGTTTTTGTTTGTTTATTTGTTTTAGTTTGGATTTTGAGTGTTGCTGACTTCAGTTATATAGTGGGAAACAATTGTACCAGGCAAACGTGGAGCACTTTCTATATTCTCAGAGACTCTAAAGGAGAATGTATTAATAATACTGCTCTTTGGGATTGCATCAGTTTACTAATTCCTTTACCTATGAAGGCCTATAATCTGGCCTGATTTTGTATCTTCTGGCCCAGGGATAATCCAAAAGCTTCCATTTGGGAGATTGGCATAGATTGGTGTAGTTCTGTCAGCTGGAACTTAGAACTCCTGCTCAGAGCACATACTCACACACACCACGCGACATTTTCTGGATCTCTTATTAATGTCTCTGAAATTGCAGTAGAGAAAGACACAGAGGGAGACAGAAAAGGCTAGTAAGTTTTCAACTATACTCTTTTCTGCTGGTCATGCAAAAAAGTGATTCTCAGATGATCTTAGTGTTCATATAAGGTGATAAGAAATTTTGGTCCACTGATGTTGAAAACCAAAACCCATTATTTCAAGAGAAAAGAATAGCCCTGGCAGAAAAAGTTACAGTTGCCATAGGAACACTCTTCTTCTCATTTTCCTCCTTAGAAAGAGATTCTATGTATTTGTCTTGAAGTTTGAAAATACCCACACACCAGGTATGCAGAGGAAAAGTTGAGAATCCACCCCTCCCCTTTTCTGCCTTTGACCTGTGGCTTTCTTTGAACAATGAATAACCACTGTGATTTTCTCATTTTAAACTACTCTTTAAAAAGCCTTAGTTTTACACTATCTGGAAAATACAGCACTTTGAAGAATCATTGTGAGTTTATCTTTTCATACTCTTATTATAAGAGTTTAGAAATGTTTAGCTTCAGATGGTGGGATTTCCACATGAAGTAAGGTACAAGTTCCTCCACTATATTGCACTTTGGCACAAATAACTACTGTCCAAAAATCTCTCACCTTTTACTCTACTTAATAAACTACTAATTCTTCAAGCCCAGATTTCATATCACCTTCTCTGAGAAACCTACCCTCATCACTGCAGGCCGGGCATGTTGCTGTGACACTGAACAAGCTTCAGCAGAGCTCCATATTAACACAGACTAAAAAGAATAGTCTGACAATATGCTTGCCAAAAACCACCCAGCACAAACTGTGGACTTCAACAGTCCTACCCATAATTGATCATGAAGGTGGAAACACTTCTTTCCATTGTGTATGAGCCAGAGGCCACTGGGCATGACTAACAACACACCCTTAGCTTGTAACCCTCCTGCACATGAGAAACCTCCTGATCATTCATGGAAACACTCAAATTTTCTTCTCTCAGAATTCTTTACTAATGCTTTTCATTTACTTCTATATTAGTATGTTGTTGTTGTTGATTGCCATCGAGTTGAGCATGACTCATAGCGAGCGACCCTATGAACAAAGCCTGAAGCTTTTCGATATCTATCATTTCTCAAAGTTCATAGAGTTTCCAAAAGCATGTTGTTTAGGAAGTGGATGCCACTCTTGCTTCCAACTTAAAATGTAGAAGTTCTAACCATCTTGGCTTCAGGAGAAAAGAAAGGCAGATAGAGATTGTTTTTTGAGCTGTGGTGCTAGAGAAGAGTATTGAACATACCATGGGTTGCTAAGAGAACAGGTTCATCCTGGAGAGGGTGAAAGTAGGCTGTTCCTTGGAGGCAAGGATTCTGAAGCTCCATCTGACAGACTTAGGACATGTTGCAAGGAGGGACTAGGTCTTGGAGAGGGATATTGTGCTTGGGAGGTTGGAGGGACAGCACAAGAGAGGAAGCCCCTCGATGAAATGGATTGATTTAGTGACTGGGGTAATGAGGGTAAGTGTGTCAGAGAAAGTAAGTTTGGCTCAGGATAGATCAGGGTTCAGAGCTGTTGTACATAGGGTCGCTGTGAGTTGAAGGTGACTTGATGGCACATTACAACAACAATAAAAATATGATGGAGATCTTCAGGAGTATAGAATACAAATCAACTCCTGACTGCATAATCATTATATTACATATATTTGACATGAGCACAGAAAATGAGATCCACCAAAAATTGTCCCAAATATTTAATTTCACCACAGATAATTTTATAGGGTGTGGAAATCATTTAAAAGAAGGTAAGACTGAAGCCAAGACTCGGAAAGACTGAGGGGAAATCTGGAGAATTCACCTTAGAAAAAAAAAGAGACTCTTAAAATTATGATAGATTATCATCTACATAAACTAGTTCTTTCAATGTATCTAGACAATGTCCTATGAAACTCTCTCCTCATCCACTCTACCAATGCCTATAATAGAAGTTTTATATTTTTCACATATGCATGCTTACTTACTGATTGTGGATAAATAAGAATATATGCATGTTAAAACAGTAAAATTGTTTAACTCCTCTTTACTAATTATTTTCATTATTTTTCTTCTTACAGAAAAATTTGTGATCCAGGCCTTACTGCCTTTGAACCCGAAGCACTGGGTAATTTAGTGGAAGGGATGGACTTTCATCGATTCTACTTTGAAAATGGTACATTTATTCTAAATTTAGTAATATGCCTTTTCCAACTTCTCTTTCAATTTCTTCCAAATTTGCAGATCCTTTGGCTCTATTCTGCAATGAACGCTTTTATCTTAGACAAACATTTTACACAGTAAAATTTTTTTACATTTGAAATTTTTAAAAATGACAAGCGAAATTTTCTACCTTTTGTACAATGTTTCATTTTGCATAAAAATCAATACTAATTGAACAGACCCCGTTTAAGTTCCAGTGATCTCTGTGACATGAGCTATGAAATAAGTTGCCAAAAATGTAACTTCTCCCTAAAACTTTATATATGAAAAAAAAGAAACTACAGTATGCTAGAATATTCAAGAGACAAGTGCTTTCAAACTTACTTGGTGCGTATTTTCAAAGTAAAATATTAATGAAAATGAGTAAACAGATATATATACATATAAGTTCAAGTTATAGGAATTTTAGGGTGCTCAAAAGAGAGAGCCACATTTTGAGGATAATTGCATAAAAACAAAACAAACCTCCTCCTGTGAAACCCACCAGGTCTTCAGTTAATTAGTATAAATCAGATATTGTAAAAACTTTTATCCTTGCTTTTCTTGCTGAAAGCCATATGTATTGTGTTGTTTCTCCATCCTGCACAAAGTGAAATCACTCCACAGAGATAAAGAAAAATATCAGTGATAGGGCTATGGTAGTTTAGTGGTAAGGATTGTGCTACCACACAAAAGTATGTGGTTTGAATCCACCAGCTTCCCCACGGGAGAAAGATGGGAAATCCAGTGCCCTGCAGTTTACTGCCTCTGAAAACCTGCTGGAGGGTCAGCTATGGGTTGCTATGAACAGTTCCAACTCTACAGTTGAACAGTGCACTACAACAATTGTAATAATCAGGCTTACTTTCAGCAAATGTAAACCTCAGCTAGATTGTCTGCTTAAGCATGGATGCTTAAATTAGGACCTGTTAAATTAATTCCTTTTCCTGTATAATTGGCTTCTGGGTTTGCAGTGCAACTTCTTGCCACTAGGCGGCCAGAACTCCTCTGCATACATTTCCTCTCTCTTTGAGTCTAAACCCACTCATAGCTGACACCCCCCACCACTGGATTTCTAAGGCTGCATACATCACAGGAGGAGATTACCCAAGTTTTCTTCCAACGAGCCACTTGTGTATTCAAACAACTAGATAGACAAAGCTTTTGTATTACAGGATTATTCAGTAAAAAAAGGAAAAACAGTAGAGGATCAGAACCAGCCTTTGTGGCCCTACACCAACATTTGGAGTTTTCTTAGGTGACCACAACTGGACTATCATGAAATGGATTCTGTAATGGCCAGCTTTTTTTTTCATTCTGGAGATAAAGATCTCTGTGGTTGAAACAGTCAAACCCATGAGAGTCAGAACTCTGTAAAGTGGAAACCTGTCAAACCAGGAACTCCTGTTATCATGAAAAGGAGTTGTAGAAAAAATGTTAAGACTGTGCACTGAAAAAGGAAGAGAATTTGCGAGACCTGGAAAAACAAAACAGCACTTGAGTTTGGCTGCCTCAGGCTTTACTATAGTTGTTGTTGATTGTCTTCGAGTTGAGCATGACTCATAGCAAACCTATGAACAAAAAGCCTGAAGTCCCTCTGCAACTATGGGCATTTATCAAAGTTCATGGAGTTTCTGGAGGCATGTTGTTTAGGAAATGGATGCTGCTTCTGCCGTACAATATTTCCACTTCTCATATATTTCACCAGCAACTGCCAAAAAAAGCACATACCGCAATGGTTCATCTACCAGAAAAGCAGGAACAATTCCGTGCACTGAGGCCAGTTTCTATTTCTACCCGTTTCCCATCATAAATAAGCACATCTCTCCAGCTTTATCGCCTAGTAAACGAAAGTATCCAGAGTGGTGTATATATTACCTGCAAACAGGATAAGAGAGTTAAAAAGAGCAGACTGTCTTCGCTTTTTCTCTTCTTTTTATCTTTCTAATACTTTTCACAATACTTAATACACAGGTAGTAGAGACAATTAGCTGAATGATTGATGTCACATTTACTGGTTCTATTTTTTTTTCTGATTTTGTTTATTACAGAGTAACTGCATTTTGTTTCTCATGTTGTTCTCTTTCAGCTTTATCTAAAAGCAATAAACCAATCCACACTATTATCCTGAACCCTCATGTCCACCTGGTAGGCGATGATGCTGCCTGCATAGCTTATATTAGGCTCACACAGTACATGGATGGCAGTGGAATGCCAAAGACGATGCAGTCAGAAGAGACCCGAGTCTGGCACCGCCGGGATGGGAAGTGGCAAAATGTTCATTTCCATCGCTCGGGCTCACCAACAGTACCCATCAAGTAAATATTCCAAGTCTATAGGTGTCCTTGTTACTGTCCTCACCATGATCAGCAGCTTCTCTTTATCCCATTGTTAATAGCATGGCATATGTGAGTTTATGTTGGTGGTCAGTTGCACCAGTGGTTAACAGCTAGCAGTTCCGTCGAACCAGGCATTTGTAGGTTGAAACTTGGCATTGAGCAGTAAACAGTGATTGTAGATAGAAACTAAAGGATAACTTATCATACTGATTTTTATTGTGGTTAAATCTGAGGGATTTGTACAGTAAGATAAAAATAGTTGTGAGTATATTGTCACTTAGCATAGAAGAGGAATTTAACAGGAAGGACTAGAAAAAGATTTCTAAATGACTTATAAAATATTAAGGGCTAAATTTTATTGAGTATCTCTGAGGCTTTGTAATATGCATAAGGAAAAATTCAGAAAAACCAGGGAAGCAAATGTGGTATTTCAGTGTATGTTGTGCTATGGCTGTGTCTTTCAAATGTTGTGTTTGCTATCCCTTTCTACACTTAGGCAAATATTTATTGCACTTTTCCTAGGTTCCTAACCTGTGCCAAATACAGTGCACGATAGAAGACTCAAGGAACATTTATTCTAGTTTTGAAAGCATCTAATTGCTCATACCAAAGGAAAAACCAGTAGAATGCAATGAATTAAGACTATTGCAAACTGTTATAAGCACCCTTTGTGGAGAAAGTAGAATGATTTTGAACACTGTTAAAAGATGAGTGAGAAAAATAAATAAAAAAGAAGATATTCAAAGAGCATCATGAGGAAAAAGGTATAACTCAGGATTTTAGCTTAGTGTGGTACAGGACAAGAAATAGATATGGCTGGCTCTTACAGGGTTCAAGGGAATAATAAGAAATAAGGTTACATCAGGAACGTGAGGTTACATGAAAACAAGAATGAGAGTTGAGACTCACCAGAAGTTTGGCCCACTCCAGAACAATGTCATTCCAGGTTCTCTTCCCAAGGAACGCCTGTTAAATTTTGGAATAGTAGGATAAGACTCAAGTTCCTAACAATTGTTATGTAATTCAGAGAAAGAAAAAAAAAGAATATGTAGATAAGTAACATATTCATTTTTGTGTGTATTGTTTTTGTTCTGTTTTTAACCCCAAAGAGGCACAACACCTATTACGAGTTAACATAGAAGCGATTACATGCATATAGTACTAAAGAATTATGTTTTTCTGTAATTCCCTGATGTGTTGTTTATGGAATAAAGCCTATTCAAGAAAACTTCATTTTATGCCACGTGGCTCAAATGGGGCTTCTCTTAATAGGCCATCCTGTATTCCAAATGGGAAAGAAAACTTCTCAGGAAACACCTCTTTGTGGCAAAACATCTAAGACCTGAAAACCATTCTCATATGGGTTTTGTAAGTAACCTCCTTCGCCCAGGCTTTGCAATTGGAGCTAATGAAACGCTGCATGGTTGTTTTCCTTCCATTGAGGAGATTTTCTCTTGCATTATATTCATTGAAAATCATTCAAGGTCCTTGAAAATTCATCTCCATTATGCATGAGCTCTTGAGTCTAAATGTTCAGCCCCATTTTGTGGTGTAATCTTTATTTTTAAAGCAATGAGCACTGAGAAGATCCTTTCTTTAACATATGGATGTATCCTTCTATAATGGCCCCAAGTAATGGCCCCAAAAGTCAATTATGTCTGGGTCAATTCAGACAACTCTCAATTATCCGTGCCTAATTTTTATTAAGCTTTGGGATTTTCTAATTTCTTACTGCTTTTCTAAAAGGTGATAATTCCTGTTCTTGATTGGCTACAGCTAATACATAAAATAATTTGCCATGCTTGACTAAGTTATAATAGTATTTGGTTCTAAGATCAGGTCACAGGAGAAAGTCAAGCTGAAATTTAAAACTCACTAAGTGGGTCGTTCCAAAGGATAACTGAAAGTTGACTGCAATTAAGTTCATGCTTGTGTTGTTTTTAAAGATTTATGCCTTAAACTTGAATTAGAAAAATTCAGCGTGGTGCCTTTTGAATATCTTCCCCATTCAAATCACTGAAGCTTGTCAGAGCTTTTAGGAAATAATGCTCTGACCTGTTGATTTAAAGAAAAGAGGCCTCCGACTAAATACGAATACTTGTGTTTTCTTCTCCTTTGAGGCCATCTCCCTTGTTAAATTGACTTCTAGATGTGATTGTCCAAAGAGTTGTAGAATAATGGCAAAAGCTGATAAAGGTATACTTAAACTTTGGGTCTGTTTCAACTGCACAATAATATACATTTATTATTTGTTTAATAATGTGAATGCTTGAAAATATTGCCTGGACTTTAATGGTGTGATAGAAGCCTTACCCCTTATTTTTAACTTAGCTTCGTGTGACTAAATTTACAGGTAATTATCTCTGACTTTTTAATATTGTGTGTTTTATCATAATGATCAAAAGATCTGTGGTATGCAGGACCTTTAATCTATTATATAATCATTTTGTAAAATTGTAACTAACAAAACTGCTTCATGACCTTTTGTAAAAATGTATCCTTTCTTTCTCACCACCTGCCCCTTTTCTCTTTTCAGCTAACTATCAACCGTGCCACTTCTGCATTCTCTCTTTTCAAGGCACCTGGATGGTAACCTGGACCGTCCTCTCCTCCTCTTCATGCATGTTTCTGAGTGCATGAAGTAGTGAAGGCCCTCCATGTAATGCATATGTGATGCATCATCCTGTCATATATTCCTTCCTATTCATTGTTTACACTTCAACTATGGAGATGTTCCATGTAAACTTAAATCACTGTTGGCAAACAATAGGGGGGAGGCCAGACATACACAGAGACACACCCCATTCACACACACGCAAACTCCATGATATTCCAAGTCCAAGTTATTCATCAAATTTCTCTGTTTATGCCAAGATTTAATATACTTCAGCATTATTGTTCTCTAAATGACAGTTTGTAAGAGAAATGTAAATTTTTTAGCATTCTTTGCTGTTAATCTGTTTTGGCACGTTTGTGTGAAAACAAATGCAAAGAAAGAAAAAATCAATTCATAATGATAACTTCAGTTTCCTGGTGTAATCCTGGTTGAAATGGATGATTTCTCACCAGAAGTTTTGTTTAAACAATTCAAGTGGATTGATACCATGAATGAAATAATTTATGAATGTGGAAGTCAGAACCAATTTGGTAACATCTAAAGCCATTCACTTTTTTATCAAATTATGTAAAATGGAAAATTTCACATCATTTACTAGTTTGGTGACTTTAAGATATACTCAAATTGTTCCAGTGAGTTCACTGAATTGAGCTTTTGATTAATTTCTCAAATATGTGCTCCGTTTTCTTCATTTTGTCCTATTCTCTGGTTTCTTTTGTTTGTTTCCTTTTTACCTTTTATATGTATATATATATATACACAAGTGTGGAAAAAAAGCAAAAGTTGCACTTTCATAACTTAGGCAAAGTCAAATTGAAGTCTTTTGGAGATAGCTAAACAGCACTTTCAATCATATTCAGGGCCCATGAAAATATTGTTAAGATTTGCAACGCTTTCGGTTTTTCTTAGGCTTTTGTTTGCACCTAGGTATCTTCTGATGAAAGTAATAGAATGTGTTCAAAACTTACGATAAAAGCCAAGTATGTTCCTGCAGTAACTTCAGTATGGCTTACTGATTGGAGCAATTGCCAGGAGAATAACATTGAGAGCAGATCAATGTTTTGTACAAACACACTTACTTCTTCTTGCTGGGATGTGAGGCCTACTTGTCACCATTTAGTTTATGGCCGTTATAAAAGCCTGGGCATGTTTTCCATTCTCATTTGTTTTTTGAACTTGTTCTTTGTGACTGGTGCTTTTTTAGCTTCTCTCTTGTGTCAGAGGAACAGTATTTTCCAGCAAGAAGTTAGAGTTCTCCAGTATGAAAAAAAAAAAAAAAAGAAAAAGAAAAAAGAAAAGAAAGGGAAATGTCCTAGGTTTACCTTGTGCTTCTCATTTCTCCTTTGTTTCTTCTGACCCCTGTGAGACTTTTTCTCTTCCCTGAAATGATATATAGTGCACAGCGTAGTCATCTGTCATCAGGATTATTTTCACAATAGAAATTCAGAATCTTTGGAAGACTATTTCTAAAACAAAAACAAAAAGAACCCTCCCCCTTTTCTCTCATCTTTCTGTGTTGATTATTGATCACCTTAGCTATTGTTGCTAGTGGATGTACGGTAGATGGATTGAAGCTTTTCAGATAATTATTACACCAATTAAAACAATATATATTTAAAATAAATATATACAGTAAATGTATTGAGCCATGTTAACCTGCCAATGAGATCTGTGAAAAAGTAATGGCCTCATTTTTTTCTCTTACTTTTCTTTTACTTTTTTTTTTTGTTTTTGGTGAAGCAGCTATAAGTGGCATACATGTATTTTTTAAAAAAAACTAGTAGAATGTAGAGTGGTTTTTGGTTTTTTTTGTTGTTGTTGTTGTTGGTTTTGTTTTTTACACTTTTAACTTAGCATGTGGTGTTGAAGTAATATCATAGATCCAGTTTGTCTTCCACACTGAGATGTGAAGAAATTGTGATTTTTTTTCCTCTCCACCACAAATGAGTTATACATTTATTATCTTCTATCATTTTGAAACACTGCAGTTTACCATGGGACACTGTATATATTTCTTGCCATAATGGTAAATGACTGATTGATATATTTAAGAGTTAATAAATTTGTGATTTCTGCTGAAAAATGTGTCTGTTTTTATTTCCTAAGAAAAGATGCTATACTTATACATGCCTGGTGCTAGCTAGGGCCAAGGGCAACATATTCTAACAACTTAATTCAATGAGGGCTAATTTACCTTTGTTTTACATATTAGATTGTTGGATTGTACTTTTTTCTAAGAATGAACTTATTAACAAATTCATTTTTCCTTTATTCAGAAAATAGCAATTTCTCTTGCAGAAACATCACTTAAATTAAAGATTAAAACAATCATTGTTAAAATCCATCAAGTCAGCAACTCTGTGTACAGACAGACAGCAAAACCTCGCCCAATCCTGCACTATTCTCACAATCTCCATTCTGCTCTCTTAAGGGTCTTCCTCTTCCCCCCGACTCTCCAGCTTCCCAAACATGATGTCTCTTTTAAAGGACAATTTGCCCAAAGTATGTGAGACAAAGTCTTAACCATCCTTGCTTCTAAGGGACGCCCTGGCTGCACTTGGTCCAAGTTAGATTTGTTTGTTCTTTTGGTAGTTTATAGTATAGTCAATACATTTCTCACACTTTACAGTTCAAAGGCATCCATTCTTTTTCAGACTGTTTATTGTCCCACTCTCATAGGCACATGAAGCAAGTGAAAATACCATGACTTGGGACAGGCATATCTATTCCTTCTCAGTTCTACTCATTTCCTAACTCCAGTTTGAAGTGACATCCTTCCCTGCATACCTTCCTTGGTCACACCTGAGCTGGTTCCTTCCTCTCTCTCCAGCACGCACATAGAAGTTTGTCTTTCATCTCTGGCCAACCACGTTGTTTTGAAAATATGTGAATCTTGGGTAGGTCCCCTCTACTAAACTACATCATGATTTCCCAAGTAAGAACTCTGTATTTACTCTATAGTCACCTTTCTATCCCTAAAACCAGAGTGTGGCTAGAAAGGGAAGTTGTCAGTAAATAGTTGTGAAACAAGTCAAACTCTAAATGGGAATCTGGAAGTACTAGACTCACAACAACAAAGAAATAATTAGGTCATCTCAGATTTATGGTTTGTCTCTAACATTGCTGTTTTTGTGGCTCTTGAGCTTATCTCCTCTTTCCAAAGGTCAGTTTCCATACTGGAAATGAGAATAAATACACCAATTGAATAAGACTACTACATTAAGAGAGTTAGAAACTGGCTACAGGCTTCCTAGAATAAAATTACTTTTGTCACTCACAAACTCATTATTTTACAGTTGGAATCCACTCATCCAGCATGTCTCCAGAGACTGTCAATCATATGATGTGCTGGAACCACCAGAAACAGCACTTTTGGGTTAGCACTACAGCTCCTTACACATTATACCATCAGAATTCCCTGTTATTCAAATATATATTATTTTATCAAATATATATTATTTCAAATATATGCTATATATTTGAATATATAGCAAATATATATTATTTGATGGTAGCAGCTATAGCTTTTATAATTACCAATATTAAAATACATAGAGTTTTTTAAGGTCTGTTATTTAAGAAGTGGAGGGGTTTGTGCAGGGAGAAGGGTGCAACAATGAATGAATGGAATCCCAAAATCTCTGTAGATGTTCATTGAAATGAAAAATAAACAACCTAAATTAAAAAAAAAGAAGTGGGGGGCCAGAACTTCTTCCTAGTTTGTATTAATCTGGATGCTCAACTGTAGAACAATACCTAACAGACAAACATTTTAACAAAAGGAGCAGATGGCAGAGACTTCCCCCATACAGAAGTAACTAATGGATTCAGTATTGGCCCCACACTCAACCTGGGAATCTGTGTCTCACCCAATCACTTTCCTTGCTCCAACAGCATCCCCTTCCACTCTCGCCCATACCATCCAGCACCTCACTCATCCCCCAGCCAACCCTTGACATGATGGATCAGGTTGTGGCATTAGAGATATTATCTCCAATGTCAGATGGATCTTGGCTGAAAGCAAAGAGTACCAGAGGAATATCTATCTTTGTTTCGTTGACTATGGAAAGGCATTTGACTGTGTGGATCATAACAAATTGTGGCTAACTAACCTTGAGGAAAATAGGAATCACAGAACACTTGATTGTTTTACATGAGCATAATCCTTACTTGGGCCAGGAAGCAGTCATCGGAACAGAGCAAACACTGCATGCTACAAAATCAGGAAAGGAGTTTGTTTGAGATGCATCCTGTCTCCAAAACTTTTCAATCTATATGCAGAGCAGATCATTTGGAAGGCTAGGCTTTATGAAGAGGATGTGGCTTCAGGATAGGAGGAAGACTCATCAACAACCTGTGATATGCAAATGACACAGCATTGCTCACAGAAAATGAGGAGGACCTGAAACATTTGTTGCAGAAGTTCAGGGACTGCAGTCTTCAGTATGGATTGAAGTTCAACATCAAAAACACAAAAAGTTCTCACCACTGTGCCAATTGGCAGCACCATGATAGATAAAAAAGAAATTTAGGTCGTTAACAATTTCAGCTTGTTCAGCTCAGCTCCGCAATCAACACCCTTGGCACCAGCAATCAGGAAATCAAAAGACAAATTGCACTGGGGAAGTCTACTGTCAGGAACCTCTCTAAAGTGCTAAAGAGTAATGATGTCAGTCCTGGGACTAAGGTTCACCTGATCCAGGCCCTGGTCTTCACCATTACTTGCTATGCATTAGAGAGCTAGATACTGACTAAGAATGACAGAAGAAGAATTGATGTCCTTGAGTGGTGGTGCTGGAAAAGATTATTGAACATACCATGGGCTACCAAGACAATAACTAGGTCTCTCTTGGAGAGAGTAAAACCAATTTTCTTACTGGAGGCAAGGATTTTGAACCTCTGTCCTGCATACTTTAGGCACATGGCCAGGACAGACCAGTCCTTGGAAAAGGACTTCATGTTTGGCAGGGTGGAGGGACAGTGCAGGAGAGAAAGATCTCAGATGAGTTGGATTAACTGGGGTGATGAGGATAGGTTTGTCGGTGAGACTGGCTCAGGATAAGGCAGGGAGCAGAGCTAATACACATAGGGTCACTGTGTGTCGAAGACAGTCTGATGGCACCTAACAACAATAATAATATTCCTTTTGTTGTTATG